TGCCCCTCCTCTGCCCCTGCCCAGGCAGTTGGAACTGCACTGAGCTCTCCCCTCAGTCTCCTCTGCTCCAGCTGAACACACCAAGTGCCCTCAGTGTCCTCACACGCCTTCAAATCAAGGCCCTTCCCCATCCTTGTGTCCCTCCTTTGGACACTCTTGAATGGCTCAATATATTCCTTATCTTGCTGGTACATGTGCACAAGCCTGGCTATGGTCCTAAAGCCATGGTCTGCCTATGGGGGACTGTTTGGAGCTTGTCTGCCTCATTGGATTATTATTTTTCCATCTTTCCTCAGATTTCTCAACTCTTCTGCCTGTGAATGGTGTCTCTTGCCACCCACTCCCGTTCTATAATCAGGGGAGAAGCAGCAGTTAGTGAAGAAAGCTCAAATTGGGTAGATCTCCTTCTCAGAGAGCTTAAGCAGCAGCTGTAGCTCTGTCCCAATTACCAGTTTTAGGTAGTTAGCTCTGTTTTGGGGGTTCAGCTTCAGGCAAGAGTGTACAAAGGTATGAAAAAATCCCCCTTCTTCCTGGTGTAGGCAGAGGATGCAGGGAGCAGGTCCTGGAGAACAAAAGGGAGAGTCAACCAGGAGCATCCTCCAGGAGCTGAACAGTGACATCAGTGAACAGCCCAAGCTGTGCTTGAGCACCAAGAAATATCTTGGTTTTAACAGCAGAGAACAACAAATACGAGAGAGAACAACAAATACAAGAGTGTGTGTGAGAAAACTTTGCAAAATTGGGGTTTTGTGCTGACTGCTTTTGCCTGTCCTGCCCAGCAGCACAAGAGCCCTGAAGGTCCTGCTGTGAGGCCAAATAATTACAGAGGACACGATCCTTGCAGGGAGGGCTCAGGGTCAGCAACCAGCTCCTCCTCAAATGGAAATCTTCATGCTCTCTGACCCTCTGGAAGCTCCTGCAGATCCACCCCCGGAGAACAAACTTAGCAGTCGAGGCAGAAATTTTCCTTCAAGGCAGATATTCAACTACAACTTTCACAGAAAGAAATTTGTCCCTCAAGGCCTCCAATTTCAGTGACCTTTTTCTCAGGATTTCTTTTTAAATCCCACGATGTTCAATTTGGCATTTTTAGGGATTTAAATTTTTTTAAGACAGTCTCATTGGAAAAATATTTAATAAATCTAAATTTAGTAGCTTGTCTTGTTTCTGTCAGAAATTTTCATGGGAAGAAGAAGCAGCTCTCAAGCATCTCTTTGCAGACCCAGTAACAATCTTGTACATGTCAAGGAAAGATCACTTTGTCCTTTGCAGCTGATCCTGATTCCCTCTGGAGGTCCAGGAGTCTCCCTCCAGCCCAGTCAGTCTTAGAGCATTATTTATGATAATGCCAACAGTGAGAGCAGACACAGCTTTATTCCACTGCCACAGGTATCAGGCAACTTGTTTCTGAAAATCTCTGGAACAGCTTCCTCAGTCTTTCCTCCCGGGTTGAGGAGGCACAATTACATGTCTTGTAGAATTCCTGCTCTAAAATCACAATGAATATGTTTTGGGAACCTGTGCATCAGCAGTTCTGTACAAGGTCCCTGTGTGGCAGCAGGACCAACACTGGGCTGGTGTCGTGTGAGATGGACTTGCCTCCTGCTGTGTTGCACCAGACCCTTTCCCAAGGACAGGAAAAGCCATTTGCCACTCATGAGATTCAACATTCGTGTCAGCAAAGTGCCCTGGCTATGGGGAAAGGGAGATATAAATATTATGTCAGTTCTCAGCTGGTGTTTCACTCTCCTAAAGAGATTTTTCATGGCTATGAGTTAGCAATTCCTATATTCCCTTTAGGTACTGCTCAACTTAAATAAATATTAAATAAGAAATGGGATTTAGGTGAGGTGGATCGATTCCCACTGCTCCTGCAGGGTTCTGACAAGCAGCTCCATCCCTCCTGCATGGACAGGGCTGTGCAGATGGGGGCACTGCGGCCAAACCCATCCCAGTCCTGCCAGGTGGGTGGAGGTACCTGTGCAGTGAGCTGACCTGTCCTGCACCAGAATGAGAGAGGTACAGACAGTTTGAGCAGTGGAGCAGTGGAAAAACAACTCCCCAGCCAGTCCAGGGAATATTGATTTGTTCCTAATCAAGCCCAGGATGTGTTGGATGGTGCTTTCTTTCAAGGTGTGGGATCCTGTGAGCTGCAGCTGATAATTGCCCACTGAAGCATCTGATCCATGTCCTGAGGGAGTCAGGACAGCCTGGAAGGGAGACTGTTGGCAGGAGAGGGGTTTGCACTCGTGCCTGACCCCCAGGAAAGGCTTGGCTATTCCCAGGCTGAAGCAGGATGTCCAAATACCAAGGCAGAGGTTTTATCCAGGCTGGTTTTTATCTCAGTTCCCCTGTCCTTCCATATCCTCATCCTCATCTTCATGAGCACCATCCAAGGGACATCTGGAGTGGATATCTCCAGAATGTCATGTGGACTCCTGAGTTCAGGGGCCAGAGCTGCCCCACACACTGCAGGGCAGAGCTGGTCCTGGTGCCTCCATCCATTTCTGCCCCAGGAACACAAGCCCAGGCTCCAAGCAGCAGGAGATGTTGCAGGAGAACAGCTCTGTCCTCTTCTCACAGCTTCCAACTGAATTTGGGCCTAAAGGAACCCATTTTGTCCTTCTCCTCCTCCAGGCCATATATCTTTCATCCTTATTCTTTCCTAGTGGCTGCCCAAGATGCCACAGGTGCTTTTCCCAGTCCTGCTTGCAGGAAGCTGGAAGGGTCGCTCAGGGCTCCCCTGTGCAGACCCTGAGCATCCTCTGAGCATCCCCTGCTGTCCACACCAGGGCCTTGGGGAACTGAGCTTTGTCCTCCTCACCAGGAGATCCCCATCACCAGGAGATGCTCCCCTGGCCTCTTCACACCTTCACACCAAGGGGAACTCACCCCAGTGCCAAAATGCAGGGCCAACCCCCTCAGTTCAGGAACTAGCCTGGAAAAATCAGGTTCATGACAGGTGCTAATTTTCTGTTATTAATTTAGACAGTAGATTACTCCTAACCATGGGTTCTATGTTATTACAGCTATAATCCCACTAACAAGATGAGCTGCCCAGCTGGTACTTAATGTGTCTGAAGCTGTGAATTATACTGCTGGGAAAACAAACCATGTGGAACAGGAGCAGGGCCTGGCTAACAGAGTTCAAACCTCAAGCATGGACCTCTGAGGAGAAACTGTGGCACTGCTGGACCCACAGAGAGAGGGGGGATTTGGGTTCAGGGGGTCACATCTAAGTGTAGTGAAGGGAAAGTTTTATTCCACTCTGTAAAGACAAGAGGGATTTTAAACTTCCTAATTTTTTCCAGGTTAACAGAGAGAAAAAGCTCAGTAAGAAATACTCAGAGGGGAGCTCAGCCCTGGAGGGGTCACCATGTAAAATGGGCCAGAGCATCACTCTTCCTCTCTTGTGTCTTCTCGCTCTGCCAAGCCAGGTTTAGTCCATGTCCAGACTGTCCCCAGGTAATCTGTGTCCTTGCATGTTCCCCACAGAGGACTGACTCCCTTTCTCCTTCTTTATGGTGGCCAAGCAAAGCTCCCTCCTGGACACTCCGTTCTCCCTGGGGAGCCTTCCTGAGCACAGATGATCTTCCCTAACCTTCACTGTCCCAAATTTCTCAGACTATCTGAGGATCAGATCTGAGCCCAAACCCACATTTAACTCTCACACAGAGGCACAGCCCCAGAATTAATGTTCCCAGAACCAGTGGGGTGTTCAGAGGGTCTCCCTCCCTTCTCCCTCTTTGTCTCGTGCTTTACCTGGTTAATATTTGAACCTAAAAGAACAAACACCAAAAAAGTAGAACTCTCCAAGGGCAAAGGGCAGAACAAGAACAAGATGAAGGGGAAGAAGTCATGGCTGTGACCTCCTCATCAACCACTGACTCATAGGAGAGGGCTGGAGCTCTGGAGCCAGGCTGGGAGAGTTGGGGGGGTTCCCCTGGAGAAGAGAAGGCTCCAGGGAGAGCTGAGAGTCCCTTCCAGTGCCTAAAGGGGCTCCAGGAGAGCTGGAGAGGGACTGGGGACAAGGGGTGCAGGGACAGGACAATGGGGAATGGCTTCCCACTGCAAGAGGGCAGAGTTAGATGGGATATTGGGAAGAAATCCTTCCCTGTGAGGGTGGGGAGGCCCTGGCACAGGTTGCCCAAAGCCTCTGCAGCTGCTGCACAACTGAATTGACATTTTCATTTCTGTCATCTTTATTCATCCTCCATACTCTAAGGCAGTTTTAAAGGTTCAGGTGAAGGCTGAGCCTGCAAGTTCTAAAAAACCAAGCTGGTGTTACTCAGAAAGAACACCTTCCAGAACACAGCAAACAAACGTGACCCTCGTTGTCTCCAGCCTCAGCTGAGCCAGCTGCCCTATTCCATTTTTGCCTCTCTCCCTCTCAGCTGAATCATTGAACACAGTGCAGGACTCATCCATGCTGCTGGATCAGCCTGTGCTCCCCAGGCAAAGGCAAGAGACCAACATCACATGGAGCAACAGTGCAGTTCCCTGATCAGAACCTAAGGACAGGGACAACTTGTAGAAAAAAATGCCAAAGGCTGCAAAACACAGAATCATGGAATGGTTTGGGTTGGGAGGGACCTCAAAGCCCATCTCATTCCATCCCCTGCCATGGGCAGGGACACCTCCCACCAGCCCAGGTTGCTCCAAGCCCCGTCCAACCTGGCCTTGGACACTTCCAGGGATCCAGGGGCAGCCACAGCTTCTCTGGGCAACCTGTGCCAGGGCCTCCCCACCCTCACAGGGGAGAATTTCTTCCTAACATTTAATCTAAATCCCTCATCTGCTAGTTTAAAACCATTCCCCCTTGTCCTATCACTATTTGCCCCTGTAAAAAGTCACTCTTCTTTTTTATGAGTACCCTTTAAGTACTGGAAGGAACCAATTCCAACAGGAATGCTCCTTCTCTTCCATGTCCATTTGTTCATCAGGTAATATGTCCTTCTAGAGTTACTCGTCTTCATCCAACAAATCCCAACATCCTGCTGTTTAATTGGGAAATTTCAGAGTTCATCAGTGGCCATAATTCCAGTTCAGGCCAGACCTAAGGGCTCTGCCAGTCAGAGAGCTCTCCCAGTGCAAGCAGATCAGCACTGCTGGGACAGCAGGAAACATTTCTGGAGCTCTGCCACCAGTATCAGTCACCAGATTTGGAAGGAAGAAAATGAAAGGAAAAGAGGTGATAAATCTTCAATCCAGGTCAGGCTGGGGACAAACCAGAGCAGTCTGATGCAGGCACATCTCAACTACTTCACCTGGATGATCCAGCTGCCAAACCAGCACTCTGGGATGTTCATTAAAGGTTATTTTGAGTCATCAAGGTCTATGCAAGGGCTGACACATCTGGGGAAAGAGCAGGAAAGGAAGAAGTTCAAGGCACAGATGAGCTCCCCCTGCCCAGTGACTCCCAAAGACATCCACAGACAACCTGCAGGACATGTCCTGGTGGCAGAAACCTTGAGGGACCACAGTGATCAAGGAGGATGAATTTGGTTCAGTGACCAGAATTTCATCCAGTCTGGTTGAATGACCACATTTCACAAAGACTGACTCTTCCTTCAAGGGCTCCAGGCAACCAAGGAATGATTTCTCACTTCGTTAACTGATCTCCCTCCGAGCTCCCAGGCAGCACCTTATTTCTGTTCTGGTTTTTTCTGCTTCCCACCTTTGGTGACTGAATCTGGCACTGCCTTCATTAGGCAGGCTGGAAGCCCCAGCTCTCAGAAATCTTTTCCCTCTGTGGGGATTTACAGCCTATGCTCAGTTTTCCTTTCAGGTTTTCCTACTGAAGTCCTTCTTCAGCTTTTCCTGAGTGCATATTTCTAGAATAGTTCTTTTCCTGCCCTGGAGCCGAGGGTGGGGGATGTCCCCTGGTTATTGCAGGGGATCAGCAGGCACATTTCACTGCTTTCAGAAGAGCTCATCTGTGGAGAACCACAGAACTCCAGCAGCAAACACAGTCATAGAATCATGGAATCATTGAGGTTGGGAAAGACCTCCAAGATCATCAAATATTAAATACCCCCAGGCCCACTGAACCATATCCCCAGGTGCTCAGTCTACTTGGTTTCTTTGAACACTTCCAGGGATGGTGATTCTACCTCTACCCTGGGCAGCTCCTTCCAGTGTTTAACCACTATGCCAGTGAAGAATTTCTCCCAAATATCCAACCAATCCCCCCTCCCCTGGTACAGCTGGAGGCCATTCCCTCTCCTCCTGTCCCTTGTTCCCTGGGAGCAGAGCCCGACCCCCCCCGGCTCCCCCCTCCTGTCAGGGGGTTGCAGAGCCAGAAGGTCCCCCCTGAGCCTCCTTTGCTCCAGGCTGAGCCCCCCCAGCATTTGTGAGCATTTGTGAGCATTTGTGAGATCCTGGCAAGGCTATTTAAAATAAATCAACAAATGACCCCCCCCACCCCAAAGTTCCTATTTTTCCTCCATCAACACTCCATAATGCAAACTGAGGAAGTGGTTCTGAATATTCATGACAAAGCACAGATTAACTACTCCTTCTGCTCTCAACTAAACCTCTCTTTTCCTTACTTTTGTAAGGGCTTTTGTTTGCTGTGCTTCTTATTGGAGCGTAATTCCCTCATTGCAAAGATGCTGAAAGCTCAGCTCAGGCATCTGAGGATGGAAGTGGGGCCAAGAGGTGCAGGCACCGAGGATAAACTGCTGACCTGGCTCCCTGCAAGCTGCCAGCTCCTGCTTCCATTCACACCGAGGCAAACGTGATGCGCACAAGTGGCTGCGGAGTTACAGTACCTGTTAAAGGACCATGAAATATTTATAAGCTGAGAGGGCTTAAAATCTCCCTTGAAAGCCTGTTCTTCATGAAAAGTGACACTGGCACTGTCGTGAAGGGCTTCTCAACTCATCCAGGAGGAGGAATCCTACCCGGGGCTGTCCAGCAGGAAACTGGATTTCTGGGGCATCTTTGTGAACTGAGGCTTCTTGATTTTAAACCAAGGCTTTTACTTTCAACCAGCCTTTAAACCAAGACTGATAAATCATTTCAATTAAGTACAGAGATGGGTATCTGTGAGAAACCCCAAGGGAAATGTGTGTACTCCCTGTGGGTACCCGAGAGCACAGCTGGAACATGCTGAGCTCTGCCCCAGGTAAAGGCACCTAATGGGGGAGACAATTCCCAGGGAAAATGGTGTATCTGAAGAGTCAGGGCCCAACATCCCTCAGGCTGTGAAAACTATCTGACCCCCTGGATGGAATAGAAAATACACCAATTAAAATACAATATCCTTCTCAAGTAGGAGAAAGTCAGTGGCTTCAAACTGACAAAGAGGGAGTTTAGATCAGATACGGGGAAGGAATCCTTCCCCCGGAGGATGGGGAGGCCCTGGCACAGGTTGCCCAAAGAAGCTGCCCCTGGGCCCCTGGATCCCTGGAAGTGTCCAAGGCCAGGTTGGATGGGGCTTGGAGCAACCTGGGCTAGTGGAAGGTGTCCCTGCCCATGGCGGGGGTGGCACTGGATGAGCTTCAAAGTCCCTTCCCACCCAAACCATCCTGTCCTTCCATGACTCGATGGTTCCAAGCAGTGACTGAGGTGTTTGGTTGTGTTTAGTGCCTGACACCTCTCTCCAAATCCAGACATTTCCTTCCTCTCTGCACCTTGGGTTGGAACCAACTTTCTGTTTCCTGAACAGTCTCTGATATGCAGAGTGGTTTGCAGTGTTTTGGCAGAGAGCAATCACCCCATGTCCCAGGCCAGGCCAGAGCTGCTCCAGGAGCTGGGAGCACTTCAGAGACCCCCACGAGCCTGGGACAACCCCCAACCCACCCCAGCCCCAGGTGCAGGCAGTGCTGGGTGCTCAGTGGGGCAGAAAGCAGCCCTTGGAGGGGTTTGCAGGTGGTAAGAAAGTGTAACAAGGTTGTCTGGGTGTTGCCAGAGCATTCTTCTGTTCAAAAAGCAAATGGAGAGAAAAGACCATGACTGGCAACCCTGACATTAGCAAAAAAAACCCCAAAACCAAACCCACCTTGTTCTTCTGTTATGAAGCGGGGGGCGGGGGGGTGGAATCCTACATGTTTTATTAGAGTTTTTACAACAAATCAAAATGTTCCCTTAGAATGACTGTTTTCCTGAAGCTTGGGAAGGTTCTTCCTTCATAGCAAAAGCATTCAAAGAGGTGGGAGAGGTGAGAAGAGAACTGATGTACAGAAGGAAAGATGCATCTGGAGCAAAGAAGACTACACTGCATATAAAATCCTGTCCAAACTCCTAAAGACATCTAAACATTCAATTTGCTGCCCTTAGTGAAGGCCATGTGCTACGAGGAAGGCCATCCTGTGGGGGCTGGTTCTCAGAATTAAAGAATCACAGATTATATTGAGCTGGAAGGGACCCACAAAGATCATCCAGTCCAACCCCTGGCCCTGCACAGGTACCCCAACAATCCCACCTTGTCCCTTTGAGCTCTGGCAGCCTTGGGGCTGTGCCCACTGCCCTGGGGAGCCTGGGCAGTGCCCAACCAGCCTCTGGGGGAAGAACCTTTGCCTGAGATCCAACCTGAGCCTGCCCTGACACAGCTCCAGCCATTCCCTGGCTGCTATCCCTGGTCCCCCCAGAGCAGAGCTCAGTCCCTGCCCCTCCTCTGCCCCTGCCCAGGCAGCTGGAACTGCACTGAGCTCTCCCCTCAGTCTCCTCTGCTCCAGCTGAACACACCAAGTGCCTTCAGTGCCTTCAAATCAAGGCCCTTCCCCATCCTTGTGTCCCTCCTTTGGACACTCTCCAATGGCTCAATCCCTTCCTTCCATTGTGTCCCCCCAAACTGCCCCAGTGTTGAGGTGAGGCCGCCCCAGGGCAGAGCAGAGCGGGACAATCCCCTCCCTGATGCCCCAGGACAGGGATGTCCCTCCTGGCTGCCAGGGCACTGCTGACTCAGGGACAACTGGCACCACCAGGACCCCCAGGGCCCTTTCCCGGCTCTGCTTTCCAGCCTCTCATTCCCACTCTGTCCGTCCATCCGGGGTTGCCCCATCCCAGGGGCAGAATCCGGCCCTTCCCCTTGTTGAACTTCCCATGGTTGGTGATTCCCAGCCCTCGGACCTGTCCAGGTCTCTCTGCAGGCCCTCCCTGCCTTCCAGGGGCTCAGCAGCTCCTCCCAGTTTTGGGTCATCTGCAAACCTGCTCAGTGTCCCTTCCAGTGCTGTGTCCAGGTCATTGCTGGAGATGTTGGAGAGCACAGGGATGAGGATGGAGCCCCGTGGAACCCCAGCAGTGACAGGTCACAGTCTGATGTCACCCCAGTCACTGTCACCCTTTGTGCCCGACCCACGAGCCAACTGCTCACACCCCACAGGATGTGTTTATTCAGCTGTGGGGTGGACAGTTTGTCCAGGAGGATCCTGGGAGAGACAGGATTCAGGTGTTGAGCTGAGAGATTCTCTGCTGAACATTAAGAAAACATCCAGAAAGCCAAGAAAGACCAATTAAATGTTGTATGGTTCTCTTGCCTGCATGAGAAGAGCTCTCAAACTCTCCAGGAGACAGGAGCCTGTCTGTCACCAGCGAACTTTTCTTAGGCAGCAGTAGAAGTGACGTTTGAGGCTGTGAAGCACCAAGCAGGCTGAGCAGGCATCAATTAGTTTGAAGTTGAATGGGTAGTCCTGGGAATATCAGAGGCAGGATTCAATATGTTTAAGGTGGGTGGCAGCTTATATGCCTGGCTGAGACAGTGTTTTAAAGAGGAAGTATAAAAATAATAATTAAAAAAACCGTCAGCAGCATTTAATGTGCAGGGGCTGAGTAGCATTTTCAACTTGTCTCCACCTCCTTGGAGCCATCAATGCCTTCCCAGGTTCTACAAACATACCTCTGCTGAGCACTGGGGGCCCAAAGCCCAGGTCCTGCAGGACATTCAGGGCCAACTTTTACTGCAGGGTCAATCTGAGTGATGGGGGTTTTGCAGGAGATGCTGCTCATGGGGTCCTGCCAAGGCTGGGATGGTGAATCTGTGAGTCAGGGCTTGAGAGATACTTGGTAAAAACCTTCCACTAGCCCAGCAGTCTGGTCTGCTGGAAGGTGTCCCTGCCCATGGCAGGGGGTGGAACGAGATTCTGGGATTGTACTTGGTCCCTAACAAGTGTCTGGACCTTCTCTGCAGGGATGGGTGCTCAAGCTCGGTCTTTTTCTGAGCTTGCCCCAGACAATCAAGCTCTGGAGATGGCAGAGGTTTCCCTGAGCTCTCAGCAGTGGATCCAGTGCTCCAGAAAGGCCCTGGAGCCCTGGGGCATCTGCAGAGCAGCAGATCCTCCTTTAGGACAAGACAATCTCCAGCACAGGGACCAGCCCAAGGACCTAATGGTGGGGTCTCATCCAGGGTCCTGGCACGTGGAACAATTAGTGATTCAGTACCTGCAGGCCAACTTTTAATGCTTCAGTTGGAGGGCACAGAAATCCACACCCAACATAACATCCCTACTCTCTGTGAGATCACCACAGCAGGGAATTTGCCCTTCTCTTCACATGTTAAGCATTCTGCAGATCCTACACCTCCATGGATGTACTGGAGATTCATGAAGCCAAGAGGGAAGCAGGCAAGAAGAGTTGAATTCTATAGTTTACTGTGCAGCAGATCAACCCAGAGGGATGTGCCTGTGGCTTAAGTGTCTTGCATTTATTTCTGGGGGCTTTTGTTCATACCTCAAGACCACTTAATACAAATTGTGTGTGATAAAAGTGTGTTTGAACCATGCAAGCCACTCCAAGTTCACAGCAGCTCCTGGAAACATTCACACTGACTGTGTAAGGACCTTATCCAAGAGCTGATATTAATGTGACATAATTAAAGAATGTATGTGCTAAACGATGAGGCTCTGCCACCCCCAGTGCTGACTGAGCTCTTGGAGCTCCTTCCTGCCATTAGGAAATGGCTGGGGCTGTCTCAGAGAAATAGCTACCACTAAGAAGGGGGAGACCTTTTCTTCCCAATTATCAGTACAAAGAGTTATTACCCAGCTGACTGTCAGCGTGTCTGGAAGGGGAATGACAATTTGTCCACATCAGTCCAAAATCAGGAACAGAGGAAGAATTCAATGCACTGAAAGGAAGGCTGAGCTCTGAAGGAATGTGGGAGCTGATGGGTCCCATCAAGGGAAGACAGAGCATGAGGAGTGTGGAGGAGGTGAGGGAGTCCCCATCCCTGGAGGTGTCCCAGGAATGACTGGATGTGGCACTCAGTGCTCTGGGCTGGGTGACAAGATGGGGATGGGGCACAGGGTGGACTCAGTGATCCTGAAGGTCTTTTCCAACCTAAATGATTCTATGATTCTGTGATTCTGAGGGTCACAGAGGTCCTGCCTCTCTGATCTGGGGAAGAGGAATAGCACAGAACCTTCTACACGGAACCTTCTGCACAGAACCAGACTGCACAGGCTGGCCTGTGCCAAAGGAAATAAGGTTTCCTGATCCTTGCAGAGTTTCTTTGCCCAAATCAAGTGGGCTGGGGAAGAAGCCATTAATTTTCAATTGAAGTCCTGATGAGCAATTTATTAGATGGCGCTCAAAATTGCAAAGTACCACTCCATAAAATGCCAAAAAAGAGCTTTTATAAAAAGAGGAGATTTGGGATGGATTCAAATGCATGAAGGATCCCAGCATTGCCAGCAGTAGGAATTGCACTGAGATAAGAGTTTAAAAATTAAAAATTGGACTAATTTAATTTTGTAATTGAAACATTTTCTCTGGATCAATACTTTCTTCTAGAATTCTTTTTTTTTAATCTCAGTAAAACCATAT